CGGCCCCCCCCCCCCACGCACCCGCGCTGAGTTCTCGCTTGTTCCCCTGAGACTCCGGCTTAAACCAGGCACGTGTGATCCTAGGTTTTCTGCGGCACGAGGTGCCCAGCGAGCTGGAACTGAACTGCCTGTTAGAAGGAAGCATCCTTCGTGGAGGGGCGCGGGGGGGGGAATCGGTCCAGTCGCGGAAATGAGTGGTGCTTGGAGGGGCGACTCGGGGCGGACAATCTCCAGCTGCCTGCAAGTGGCCGAAGAGGGAAAGGGTTGGGTGGTCAGCCAATCTAGATGCACATTCCAGAGGGGGAAGGGCCTCCAGCACACAGACCAACTTGTTTACCTGGTTGTTTGCACGCCGGCTAATCAGCGGGGTTTGATGTTCCCGGGCTAGGGAAGCTCCGCCCGGGTTCACTCCCCTTCTCGCGTTGCGGTTGGAGAGACTCCATTGTTGTCAGCGCGCACACACACGCACGTGCTTTTTCACCTGGGAAGATGCTAGACCTCCAGGCTGCATCTCTGAACCGAAGGGATCCAGCCACTTGGGCCGAGAAAGAAAACTGCCTGCTTTAGAAATGGACATTTTATGTGAGTAAAATGCAGAAAGCTTTTTATACTTAAATTGCTTCCGGAGTATTATTTTCTAAAGCGCTAAGCCTTGGTGAGGGTGGATAGAAGGGGACTCCTTAGCTAATGCTGACCCTCAAGCAGCTGGCCTTCTGCGGTGCCTTTTACTGGAACTTAAACGAGTTCCCAAAGAATTCTCAACAGAGAGTAACTAAACACAGCCAGCTGGGGAAAAAAAGGAAAAGATTAGCTAAGAAGTATTTTTTCGGGCTTTGTTGTTTTCTGAGTGCATCTGCGTTTTTGTCTTCCCCTCCCCCTCAATATACCAAAGCTAGCTGAACAGATTTTGATTTTGCTTGTTTGCTGCTTTTGCTCAGAAGGAGGCAGGATTCAGTATGGCAGAAAAGAAGGATTTTCTGGGTAAATTGCCAGTCCTAACCTCAGTTAATTTTGAAAGATGGAAACAAAGATTATTAATGGAGTTTTCAGCCATGGAGCTTAATGATTGCTTAAGCTCAGACAAACCTGAAGAAAGCAAAGCTAGAATAGAATGGGAAAAGAAAGATACAACTGCACAAACAATAATTTACCACAACTTAACTGACACACAACTGGCCTATGTTACAAATTGTGAAACAGCAAATCAAATGATTAAAAATCTGGAGGAATCTTTTGGAGTTGCATACCGCCAATCTAGAGCAGCATTGATCAAAGATCTAACAAGACTCAGATTAGACAGCAAGAAGGATTGCAATCAGCATATATCTGAATTTTTGAACATTACAGACAATCTGAGTACAGCTGGTTTCCGAATGTCTGATGAAATTAAAAGGGACTTTCTGTTAGCATCTCTGGGAGACCGTTTTGATGCTTTTTCCTCAGCTATTAATACTCAGAAACTAACCTTTGAGGAAAGCCTTAAAGCTTTGAGATATGAATGCATAAATCACAGGGGCAGTTTCAGCTCTCCAGAGGCTTCTGGTTCAAATGACCTGTTTCAAAATAGGAGCCACAGAAAAGCTCCACCCCACGACCAATCACGTAACAGCTGCTGGTCTTGTGGGAGGGCAGGACATAAATCAAGGGACTGTGACGCCCACAGAGAGGCTCCGGCCAATAGGAGCTCTCACCAGGTTGAACAAAGAGCTCACAAAGGCAAGAATGCAGGCTCTGCTCACAAGAAAGACAGAGATAGAGTTGTAGAGAAACCAAGCAAACAAGTCAAACAAAGGGCATTTATTGCTTATCAGTCTACCCCAAACTACCAGAAAAACAAGGGCTCATGGATTATTGACAGTGGACGTTCACAGCATGCTACTCATGATAAAACATTTTTTAAAAACTTTTGATTCATGTACCAATGGGCAAATTAAAGTTGCTGATGGGAACTGCGTGGAGGTGCAAGGCAAAGGATCTGGGACTTTGATGTGTCCAGTACCAAATGCAATCTATGAAAATACTGTGAATGAAGTGGTCTATGTTCCCAGTTTTGACTGCAACATGTTAAGCGTATCAAGTCTTGCGAAAAAGGGTTTTCAAGTACATTTTGATGGTGAAAAAGTGCATAGTTGAAAAGGACAATGAAATATATTTGGGAGCTTATGAATCTAACGGCATATATAAAGTCAGTCTCTTAGATGACCAGGTGCAAATCAACACAGTGCAGATGGTGCAAGAAGAGGTGAACAGCCTGGAGCTGTGGCATTGCAGATTTGCGCATAGAGACACAAGTGCGATCCTGGAGCTACATAAAAGGAAACTGGCCAAAGGAATTGAGGTAAAGCCACGTGACACAAACAAGACATCCAGGTACGTAAGTTGCCTTAAAGAAAAAGGGTCCAGACCCTCATTTCACTCAAGTACTGAACAAAGAAGCACAAAGGTGTTAGAATTAATTCACACTGACCTGCGTGGACCAATTAATGTGCCATCAATGGGAGGCAACAGATATATTCTAATTTTTGTGGATGATTTTTCAAGGTACTGTGTCACCTACCTACTGAAGGACAAGAGTGAGACCCACAACCTTCTGAGGAAATACGTGGCCATGGTGAGCAACAAATTTGAAAGAAAACCTAAGGTGTTTCAACCAGACAACGGTGGTGAGTACATTTCAAACCACACACAAACATTATTTGAGGAACAAGGTATCCTACATAGACGGACTGTTCCATACACACCAGAACAAAATGGAATAGCTGAGAGAAAACTGAGGTCTCTTCTAGAGATGACTAGATGCATGCTTGCAGATGCAGAACTACCCAACAAGATGTGGAGTGACGCAGTGATTACAGCCACGTATCTCCAGAACAGGTTACCAACAAAAGGCACAACAAAAACACCCTTTGAATTTTGGCATGGTAGAGTCCCAAACATCTCACACATTAGAGTTTTTGGAAGCATTGCATACCCTTACATTCACAAGGAGAAAAGGCATAAATTGGACTCTAGAACTGGACAAACAATTCTTATTGGGTATGCTTCAGGTCAAGGGGTACAGAGTCATGAATCTGAGAACTAATGAAGTCAGCGCAGGACATGTGGTTCACTTTGATGAACATAGGAAAACTGACAAAAGAGGAACTGTGTTAGACAGCTCTGATGAGCAGGATCAACATAACCAACCTCTCCTAGATATACTTATCCCAGTGCTGTCACAAACCATACCAGAGGAAGTGGAGGATGAGGATGAGGCAGAGGATGAGAGCAGTACACCAGAAGAAGGGGATACGGATGGAGCAGTGGACAACGCTGTGGAGCCGGAGGATGGCACCATGCCGCCAGAGGTTCTAGAACCAGAGGTCAGACGCTCATCACGACCCAACAGAGGTGTGCCGCCACTTCGCCTGTCCTACCTTGCAAGGCCGTCACAGACAGACGAGCCAGCAACCTGGGAAGAAGTTGAACAAATGCCAGCACAAGAGGGCGCCAAATGGAGACAAGCTGCAAAGGAGGAGATAGAAGCCTTACACAAGAATGAAACATGGACACTAACAAAACTACCACCAGGGAAGAAAGCAATTGGATGCAAATGGGTATTCAAAGAGAAAAAGGGAGCAGATGGAGAAGTGGAACGCTACAAAGCAAGACTAGTTGCCAAAGGATTTCTTCAGAAGTATGGAGAAGACTTTGATGAAATATTTGCTCCAGTTGTCAAACACAGCAACATAAGAATGCTCCTGAGTATTGCAGCCTCCAGACAGATGCTAGTCAGACATCTAGATCTCAAAACTGTGTTCTTACATGGAGAGATTGAAGAGGAACTCTACATGGAGCAACCACCAGGCTTCATTGACAAGAAACACCCTGACCTTGTCTGCAAATTGAGGAAGGGCCTGTATGGGCTGAAATAAGCAGCCAGAGCTTCGAATGAGAAACTGAAGAAGATGCTACTTCAACAAGGTTTCAAACAGGGAAGGACAGATCAATACCTGTATACTAGGAACAAGAATGGACATTACACATACTGTATATTCTAGCTTATGTTGATGACCTGATAGTAGCGACCAATGAAGAAAAAGAGTACAGGAGTATAGTACAGAATCTGAGCAAAGAGGTAGAAATAAAGGAATTGGGAGATGCAGCATATTATTTGGGCATTCAAATTGAGAGAGAGGCAGATGGTTCATATTTGCTGAGTCAGAAACAAAAGATACTTGAACTGTTACACTTGTTGAATATGCAAGATGCCCACAGTGCTGCTACACCCATGCATACAGATTTTCTTAAAAATAAAGAGAAAGGAGAACCTTTACCCAACAATAACCAGTATAGAGCAGCTATAGGGAAGCTTTTGTACTTGACAACTACTGCGAGACCTGACATTGCCGCTGCAGTAGGAATACTGAGCAGAAAAGTCAGCTCTCCAACACGGAGTGACTGGACAGCTGTGAAAAGAGTAGCTAGATACTTGAAAGGGACCATGGACTTTAAGCTAAGACTGCCAGCTAATAAGAACCCAAAACTCATAGGGTTAGTGGATGCAGACTGGGCTGAAGATAGCGAGGGTCATAAGTCTACTAGTGGTTTTCTCTTTTTGTATGGCAATGGTCCTATCTCATGGGGCAGTCATAAATAGGATGTTGTAGCTTTATCTTCCACAGAGGCTGAGTTCGTTGCAGCAGCAGAAGCATGCAGAGAACTGCTATGGCTGAAGAAACTGCTGATGGACTTTGAGATAGATGGAGGAACACCATTCCAGATGATGGAAGACAATCAAAGCTGCATCAAGCTATTGCTGGGAGAGAAGATGAACGTGCGCACCAAGCACATTGATGTGAGATATGGGTTCGTATGTGACCTGATCGAGAAGGGTACCATTCAGATGACCTACTGTCCATCCACGGAGATGACAGCAGACATTCTGACTAAACGTCTACCAAGAGATCGCTTCCAGAACCTGCGAAGCATGATGGAACTTGTTGAAATTTAGCATGCTAGTTTGAGAAGGGGTGTTGGATGGTCAAACAATCTAGATGTAAATTTCAAAGGGGGAAGGGCCTGCAACACAAACTAACTTGTTTACTTGTTTGTTTGCATGCTAGCTAATCAGAGGGGTTTGATGTTCCCGGGCTAGGGAAGCTCCGCCCGGGTTCACTCCCCTTCTCACCGTGTGGTTGGAGAGACTCCATTGTTGTTAGCGCACACACACACACACACGTGCTTTTTCACCTGGGAAGATGCTAGACCTCCAGGCTGCATCTCTGAACCGAAGGGATCCAGCCACTTGGGCCGAGAAAGAAAACTGCCTGTTTTAGAAATGGACATTTTATGTGAGTAAAATGCAGAAACCTTTTTATACTTAAATTGCTTCCGGAGTATTATTTTCTAAAGCGCTAAGCCTTGGTGAGGGTGGATAGAAGGGGACTCCTTAGCTAATGCTGACCCTCAAGCAGCTGGCCTTCTGCGGTGCATTTTACTGGAACTTAAATGAGTTCCCAAAGAACTCTCAACAGAAAGAGCGAGCTTGTCTGTGCTGGGAAGACACTGGACTGGCATGAAAACCCACAGAGAAGGTCTGCATCACGCCAGGGCGGAGGGAGACGTCCTTGACCACTTGGTGGTTTAGGAATCAAAGTCCCCCTGGCTAAGATTTTATCAGGCTCATGGGAAATGCATTGAAATTCACAACACTACGTAGCGAAACATTGTGGCTAACCAGAGTGAGGCCCGAAATAGTCTCTCTCGTCAGGTTCAGCAGGTACGCCCCTACCAGGAGCCAGGCCACAGGGAGACCCCGTAGAGCCAAGGCTCCGTGGCCATCGCCTTCTCCCCTTGGCATTCTCCACAGCTGGCCTTCAACTGCCTTCCAGCCAAAAGGCTCCCTGAGGTATTGGTGGCTCCCTCCTCCTTTCCAGGCATTCTGTGGGTGCTTACTCGGAGAAGGAGTCACTCAGGGTCTGCTTTCCTCCATGAGTTAAACTTTTGTCATCTAAAAGTCATCTAAGTTGCTGCCTGTTAACGTGTCAAGTTTCAGGCAGTTCCAGATGTTAATTTTCTGTGTCTATGAAGTGAAGAGGTACTTCCTCTGCAGCACAATCCAGGGCATAATGATCTTAATCTCAGAACGGCGGAGCTGGAAGGGACGATCTAGGCTGAATGCTCATGGAGGCCAGCCCCTATCTCTGCAGCCAGAGACCTAAGCCAGGCACTGAAAGCCGAAGGAGCTGGAGGCCGCTGGGACTGCAGCTGACTTCCTCCGCGGCATCTCTCACAGAGGCCTCATTGTGCCAACCCACAACAGCTGTAGATGCTTTTTCAGGAACGCTCTGCCCAAGTATGTCACAAACACACGTGCGCACACGGCAACAGAGGGGGCCCCTCCTTTTTGGGGTCCATGTGTGAGAAGAGTTTTCGAAGGTGGTCCAAATCCTACGATTCACAGGAAAATAAGAGTTTGTAGTTGCCCACCCTCTTCTCTCTCCTTCTCCCTCTCCCTCCCTCCCTCTCCCCCCACTCTATCTCTCAAATAACA